ATAGCTTTAGCTGTGTACGTCTCAGGAACGATCTTTTCCACAAGGAATTTTCTCACACCCACGAAGTTTGTATTAAAAGCCGAGGCAATAGATTGAGCTGAGGTGAGAAAGGCGCCCTCAGCTAACAGAATGGTAATTCTGGAGGACGTTTTAGAAGAGGGTAGAGTTTATTTGAAGCTCTCCAGAAGTCTTTAGCGCTTGATTTGCTACTGTCAATTATCAGGTTAGTGTAAAAATTAGATTTGGCTTTCTTGATGCTATGGCTGACTTTGTTCCTCAGATCACGGTACAGACGCTAATGAATACTGCTTTTATTTCCCTTGGCTTTCTTCAGGTGGTAATCGCGCTTATTCATAAGATCTGTAACGTGAGAGTTCAATCAAGGAATAGAAAGCCTCTGACCCGGCTTGTTCTTTTAGGAGCATGGGATTCGGCAACCTCTGAGAATAGTTTACTCCAGGTGTTAATGCAGTCATCGATATCTTCATGGTTGTTTACAGCCACATGCCAAGGTACTTGGCGGAGTTCAGATACAAAGGAGTCTCTATTGTAGTTTTTATACGAGCGAAATTGAATCGTTTTTGGTGGAGCTCGATAACGACCGCTCTTCATTGCGCAGTAAACTAAAGAATGATCGCTCAAACCAGGATCTATAACGTCAGACTCGGTAATTTTTCGTTGAGTATTGGTAAAGCACAAGTCGATGAAAGATTCAGAGTGTTCCGTGACGCGCGTTGGAGATTCAATCACTTGCTTGAGATCGTGACGCTCAGTAATTCCCTTGAGCAATCGTTTCTGAGACGAATTTGCATTTCTCCTTCCAACTGGAAAATCAATGTCAAAGTCACCAAGCACGACCTTGTCAAAGCCAGAGTCAATCTTAGACAGTGACTCACTGAAGTTATCAATAAAATTGTCTTTAGGTTGATCTGGTGGTCTGTAGATACAACCAACAACAAGAGGTGTACAGATTTTTCGGTTCACTTGAATCCAAACAGCTTCATTTTAATTATTTAGATCTTCGCGAACAGTAAAATTTATAGAAGCGCGGCAATAAATTGCCACTCCTCCACCAGCCTTTCTTTGGCGATCCCGCCTCACACAGCTATAGCCAGGCATAAGAATCTCGTCATCAGGCATCATATCATTTCGCCAAGTCTGAAATAAATGAAACAACTTTGCACCGCCCATGACGAGATTCACTTGATCCATCTTGCGTAGCAGACTACGAATATTAAGATGAGCTAGAGCTAATCCTCTACTTTTGGGGCCAAACGATAATCCAGAACTGTTTAATTGAAATGTAGGACCAGGTTAAGGACAGATATCACCAGCTAATAGTATAAGACCAGCAGCACACAGACTAAGCTGTGTAACGTTCAGGATTCTGTAGGCCTTGAGCGAGGGAACAGTAGTAGTAAACCGTGCAGATTGAAACACAAATTCGTGGGACCACAAGTTGAAGACTTGAAATATAGCATGGATAATTTACTTTTGAAGCTTACAATCTTGAAGGTATTTATGAAAAGACAAATCAGGAATTTTCGAATATTGAAATATTTACAAACGCAACACTAGTGGACCATTCTCTACGCTTCGCAGTTAATTGAGTATGGCCACTACTGTTGTTTACCCATGTCGGACCACGTGACCAATCTATGACGTATGAAGCTGAAAAGGTCTATTAAGCAGGAAGGTTCAGGTTACTTAGTGAGGTGTATGAATTTCTTTGAAAAAATTTTAATAGTTTAAGTTTTTTT